CCCACCTCCCCCTGGTTTTTGTGCTGTTCTTTGAAGGAGCAAGGAAAGGATGCCGTGCTGCCGCAGCCTCAGTCGCGGCCGTGCCCGGGGACCGGAGCAGCCGCCCACCCAAGGCAGCTCCACGGTGGAGGATGGGCTGGAGCGCTCGGCTGTTGCTATAACAACAGCGCCTCTGTCTCCTTCCTCCCGGAGAATGAATCGCTGCTGGTGAGATGAAGCGGAGCAGCTCCTCCTCCTCCCAGATGAAAGCCCTGCCAGCAGCCTCCCCACGCTCCCGTTGATCTCTTGGGTCTGTCACGGCCTGTCCGAGCGGCTCTGCCGAGGATTTGGGCATGGTTGGATCCCACCGTTCAGCTTGGTGCGCGTTTGCGTGCGCGCACACTGTCCCCCTGCCTCTCCTCCGACTGAAAGTCATTTAAAAAGTCAACCTGCCAAAATCTGACCTTTTCTCACTCTGCAACTGGAGTTTTTTCCAAGGCATATAAAGAATCGAGAGTCCTGCTTCACCCTCTTGTGATTTGGGGTAGAAAACTGCAGTGAAATGAAGATTCATCAGCCAAATATTTTGTGTGAATAAAGCTAAAAACTTATGAAGCTGAAAGGAGGTTGTTTTATTTCAATATTTTCCTTTGGTTTTGATATTTTCCTTTTATTTTTATTTTATCTGTCAACAGTCTTCTGTTCCTAGACATAAATCTATCAGCTCCTGCTAATATCTTCACAATGCATGCCATAAAACATCCACAGACTGTGTACTTGTACTAAGAAGGAGAGGGAGGGTACTTTAAAAGGTACTATTTTACTTCAGGGGTTGTGTTTATAGAGGGAAGGGGAAGTGCTGGGGTTTTACTCTGAGACACTCTGGAATCCTGATTGTGGTGAACTGTTTGCCCATGTATGCTCAGTGTAGGATATCCAAACCATTCAAGAGTTAATATGGTGATTGGGAATTAAATCAAGATAGGAAAAGGAAATTTTTCATTAAAATAATTTGATGAGATTATATCTGTGTTGTACCTCAAAAAAAGGAGATGCATTTATTGTTATGGTTCCCAACTCCCCCAAAATGCTGGAATCAAGAGGTTTCCCCACCTGCCAAGGTTGTACCCAGCACGTTGCCTTCTAACAAACCTTTCATGTTAAGTCTCTGTCTACCTACAGTTTTTCAATGAGCAAGCAAAGAAGACAAAAATATTAGTGCCTGTTAGCCCCCCAAATCCTAAAGTTTCTCAAGGAGAACGATGTGGATAAACAGACTTAGAATAGATTTAATTTAATTTCTTTTTGCAATGAGGCGCAACTTCGGTATGTTTCATATTTCATAGAAAATAGTTTTCACGTCAAGCTGCTTTTTGTTGTAATGCATAATAAACATGATTATGAATACTTATATACTGGGCTAAAGTCACTGTCTATTTGTACACGGGGACATCCAAGTTCCAGCACATGATGAAACTTTAGGAACTGATATTTTTAGGGCTGGTTATTTGCCACTAGATAATTGTGATTATTTTGGTAAACATTCATATACAAATAAGGTGATAGATTCAGGATGAAATGGTACATGTTTTAAAACCTGAAGGTGTGAAATCATTAAAAGTATATCACTTTCACCAATATTTTTGTCAAGTATTCATTCAAACTTGCAAAATGTATGGAGTCAGTTCACTTATACTCCTCAGGAGATAATGACTCTCACTGGTCCCTGCCTTGTCATTAAGGCAAATTTTTTTCCCATCTTTTCCTTATGGAACTTTACCTCATGATGAGAAGCCTGCCACCATGTCCTGTTCTTACTTTAGCCCAGCATTGGTCAATATGAACCTGGGGTAAAGGGCCATGACACATTTTGAACACTTCTTCAAATCCTGGTTTTGCCTGTGCATTCCCATTGAGCTTGGTCTTGAGTCACTTGCTGTTGGGGCAATGTTTTTCTGGTGTGGCAATAGTGACTTGGCAGTGTGATGGCTTAGGAGTTGAAATGGGTGATTTCAGCTGCAAATTGTGGGAGTGGCCCATGAAGGGCAGTATTTAAATATGCTCTTTTTACATTGACATAAATATGCTATTTTAACCCATTACATCAACTGACCACCTGCACTTGAGGCCAGCTTGTGCTCTTTCTTGCCTTGCCCTGGAGCTGTGCTGTTGTACTTGTGAAGCGGCACCGTTACCACATCTGTACCATCCTTTCCTGTCTCCAGGGTCTGATCCAGGGTTATAGCAAGATCAGTGGAACCAACTCAGCTGTAGGAATCTGCAGCACAGCAGATACAGGACTCACAGAGCATCAGGGAGCTGTAATGCCGCACACCAATGTTCAGCTTAACGTGGGTTTTTAGGGGAGGGAGGCAGCAGAGGTGAGAGCCGTATGTGTCCTCGTGGAATCTGATTTTGATCCTTGCCCCTAGTCCTGGACTTCCTTTCCACATGGCTGCCAACTGGCACAGACTGAGGCAATTGCCACCTCTGGGCAAGCCCCTGTGGCTGGCAGAGCTCTGCTGCCGTGGCACAGAGAGATGAGAAGGGGTGGACAGAAGGTGATTCTCTCCTGCCGGGCTCCATGCTCTGCGGCCTGGCGGGTTCCTCCTGCAGGCTGTGGTTGCTGAGCGCGACTGTGCCAGGCTCTAATGCAGAGAGAGTGGCACAGTGGGCATTCCCACCTGCACCTGTGGAGCTCATGGGGACAAGAGCTGCTGCGTTTGAGAAAGGAGTGGGAATGGAGTGACAGAGACTTGATAGGGAGGCCTTAAAAAAAGGGGTTCCAAATCACAACCTGCAACACAGGGAGAGGAACTTCTTGGTGCAAACCACTGGCTGTGCCTGTTCCCTTATCTCCAGAAACTGGGAAGATACTCAGGGTGTGGACAGCTGCTACAGAGCTGCATAGGCATAAATTCACAAAATTTAGGAAGGGTTGGAAGGGACCTTAAAAACATCTTAGTTCTAACCCCCTTGCCGTGGGCAGGGACCTTCCACTAGACCAGGCTGCTCAGAGCCTCATCTAGCCTGGCCTTGAACTCTTCCAGGGATGGGACACCCACAGCTTCCCTGGGCAATCTGTGCCAACACCTCACCGTCCTCACTGGGAAGAATTTCTTACTAATATCTAACCTAAACCCACCTTCTGTCAGTTTGAATCCATTACCCCTTGCCCTATCACTTATAGAAGTCCTTCTCTTGTAGGCCCTCTGGGTACTGGAAGGCGCTATAAAGGTCTGCCCAGAACTTTCTCATCTCCAAGGTGAACATGCGCAGCTCTCCAAATTCAGGGTTTTAAGAGCAGAGACTGGAAAAGGAGCCCAGCCATGGGGCAGAGGCTGTGCCTACAGAGCAGCTGGTCTGTGTGGCACCACAGGAGCCACAAGGTGGAGGAATTTCTGCCTGCGGGAGGCCTGGCACACTCTGGCTTTGTGCAGGGTGGAACAGGCAGCAAAGTCTCGGCCACTTATGCCAACAGTGACCCACTGGGGACTCTTAATCACATTTTAATTGTTTTCCCACATTAAAAAGCTGTTCTGCTCCAGTGAAAATCGAGGGGTTGATGGTCTGTTTAGACTCATGGCAGTGCCTTTCTGCTTGGTTCTCTGCAGAAGAGCAGCCTCCCAGTAGCTTGGTGTCCCAGGCATGCTGAACTGTGGCTGCAGCAATGCCTGTGCTGGCCACATCCCTCTGCATTGTGTGCTGAAAGAGGCCAGGCTGGCCTGAGGGGCAGGAGAAGGGCCCAGCCCTCCCAGAACCACTCCCTCCAAAACCCGGGCGAGATACGGATTTGCTTGCCTGTCTTACACATGGGATGAAAGGGGAACCAGCCCTCTGGGATGGGAGAAATAAATGGGATCTGGATTATGAGAAGAAAGAAGGTTGAGGACCTCTAGGTTAGGGAAGGGGTGGGAGTTGCATATCTGGGACTTTCCTACCAGTAAGAATACTTTAAAAACTGATAAAATCTTTCAGTATTTTGTCTTCTATTGTTCTAATATCAAGGATGCAAGTGTGTCCTGAAGGCGTTTGCTAGAGCTGTGACCTCTTTGCTTCCTCCCCTCCCCACTATTGTTTTTTGCCTTGGTGAAGAGAGATGCTTTTTTTAGCCTCGTACATAAGTAAAGGACTCGGCTTGGGCGCGAGTGGGGAGGACTGCTGCTTGCTACAGTTCTTTGCTCTGCTGCTACAACCTGACTTAAAACTGATGTTAATACACCATTTTTTCCTAAAATTCTTATATTCCAATTTATTTGCTTTTCTGTAGACTTGTCTAGCCATTATTTCTGTTAGCTATTTATGTTTTATGTTAGCTCTTAGCACATAGTTGATTTCTTTTTTTTTTTTCATTATTTGATTGAGTTAAAGTTATGCAAAGCACCTTCTGTTTTCTAGGGTGGATTTTTTTTTCTCCCTTAAAAGTGATTCTCAATGTGTTAGCCAAGAACACAGGGCTAAGCAAATGAAACTATGTAATTTTTTTTGTCAACAACACATTTCAATATAAGTAGTCAATCAATTATATTGCAGTTATTTTTTAAAAAAGCTTATAGAAGCTTTCAGAAAAAAAAAAATTGGAGTGACTAGTAAGTTTTAGTGATTCCTTTTTTCTCTTTTTTTAAATTCTATTTTAAGACTCCTCACTGTGTTAGGCATGCTGTTTAAATCTTATCTTTGTATTAGGCACTAAAATGTCAAATGAGTCAACTTGTTCCCTAAATTTCTTGGAAGTTAGCACGGATTCAGCTTGGAAAGCACAGACATATTTTACAGTTCTGCTTTCCTAGTCGAGGGAAGGTTTGGTTTGCGGCAGTGGGAGGTGTTTGGTTGGTTGGGGGTTTTTAGACTGTGTTTTCAAATTGATCAAGGCATAAGAATGAAATCAGAGAAACTTCCTAAGCAGTTTTAAAACTGATTGTCACTGGCTCGATGAGGAGTCTCTTGTCACAGTGCCCATGAGAACTTCTTTTGCATCTGCAAATGGTTAATTTTTTTTCTTTTCTCTTGTTTTCTTTAAGCTTCAAGAGACAGTCAAAAGGAAGTTGGAAGGCGCACGTTCACCTCTCAATGGAGAACAGCAGAATGGAGTTTGTGATGGGAACTTTTCTCCAACCAGCAAGCGGACACGCAAGGATGTGCCAGGCATCGAGGCAATCAACAGCTTGCCCATTAATTTGCCTTTGCCTGCTGTTTCTCCTCTTCACCAGCTTGACATGAAAGCTCCTCTGCTCCTGCAGAACAGTGGAACTCACAGGAGTGGTCTAGAAGACTTGGGTGAAAATGGTGGGCTTTCTGAGATAAAGCTCCCTGTTAACGGCTGCAGCGAGCTGGATGATGGTTTTAACATCCTGCACAGCAAGGAGCTAAAGCAAGAGCCTCTGGATGACTCCAACTGCATAGACACCTCTGAAACATCTCTTTCCAATCAGAATAAGCTCTTCTCAGACATTAACCTAAATGATCAGGAGTGGCAGGAGCTCATAGATGAGCTGGCAAACACTGTCCCAGAAGACGATATACAGGATTTGTTCAATGAAGACTTTGAAGAGAAGAAGGAGCCCGAATTTCCCAGGCCTGCCACAGAGGCTCAGGAGAGTGCGAGTGTAAAAAGCGATCCATCCCATTCTCCATTTGCTCATGTCCCATTAGGCTCTCCCCAGGTCAGACCATCTTCTTCCGGTCCTCCATTTTCCAACATCTCCTCAGGCTCCAGCATTGCTTCTGCGTCCAGCGCACCGCTGGCCCCAGTCCCTGCTGGATCACCAGCAAACTGTGTTGTGCAGTCCCCTCAGACTCCCAGCCAGGCGCACACGCCCGGGCAGACGCAGGGGCGCTCCGGGAACGGCTTCCTGATGAACCCAGCATCGGCCGTGGCAGGATCGGGGCCTGGGCCAGGGGCCCTGCCCAGCGCTGACCTGTCCCCAGCTGAGCAACTCAAGCAGATGGCAGCCCAGCAGCAGCAAAGGGCCAAGCTCATGCAGCAGAAGCAGCAACAGCATCCCAATCAGCCCTCAAGCTGGTCACCAGGGGCGCCTCCATCTAGTCCCTACGGAGGACCCTTCAGTGCAGACAAACCAAATAGTCCCATGATGTACTCTCAAGCCTTTAACAACCAAAACCCTGTAGTGCCTCCTATGGCAAACAATCCCCAGAAGACCACAATTAATAACTACCTCCCTCAAAATCACATGAACATGATCAGTCAGCAGCCAAATAATTTGGTCACAAACTCCTTGGGCAAACAGCCCAACATGCTTTCCTATGGCAACACCAAACCTCTGACCCATTTCAACTCTGAGCTGGGTCAGATGATGGCCCCGGCCATGGCAAACCCCGGGAAGAACACCATGATGCCGTACATGCAGCAGCAGCAGCAGCAGGCCCAGCAGGCGCAGATGCCGGCTCAGGTGGGCCACCTGAGCGAGGAGCAGAAGCGCATGCTCATCATGAAGCAGAAAGGAATGATGAATCAGCCCATGGGATATGCAGCACTCCCTGCCCTCGCTCAGGTAAGTGTGAGTGCATAACACAAGAGGCCGATACAAAGCTCTGTACAGTGAGCCTCTTGTATTGGGCTCTACAGAGGCTGACATCTCTTTGTCCAGTCTCCTCCATTCGCCTCCTCTTTGTCCTGGAAAGTATGGAATGTTGTTGCAGATGCTTCTTGGATTTTTCATGTGGTATTGGAGCCTGATTATTTTAAGAAACAACTGAAATTATGTTGCATTATACTTCGGATCTGTTGTTGATTCACTGCTCTTTCCCTGTGCCGCTTCTGATGAGTGCTTGGGGCCACTCTGGGAAATTTTGAGTTAGAAGTCACTCTTCCTTGGAGGGTTTATTTCCTTTTTTTTCATAATGCGAGACGTGGCGGTTGTGGATCCCAAACCACTGCATGGCTTAGTTTACCACATTGTAGTTAGCATTGTACCAAAAAGATGGAGCAGTTGGTTCCTTCTTCTTGGGGTAGAGAACAAGCCACCTTTAAACAGCATTTTTTGGCATATTGGCTCTGGAGGCAAAGGTAGAACATTTGGGTTCTGAGTGTCTTTGGTTTTAACTGGGAAAAATAAGAATAACAGAATGCTTTTAATGGTGCCTGGGCCATGATGATGAGATGGTTTATTCTGGGACTTTCAAGCAGTCTTTAGCAACACCAAGTATTTTGTCTTTCAGCAAGAGGCTAAAGCCATGTTGGCTTCAGAGCCTCGGCATCAGTGTCTCATGAGTATTCCGTGCTAAGCTCTGGTGCAGCAGTCGCCAGGCCTGGGGAATACTCTGTAATGAGTTAATAACCAGTTGGAATAGTGGTTACATTAATGCCCTCTCACCTCCTGGGTCAGCAGGGTATTCTTAGTTGGGCAGCCCTTGTAAAGATCTGCCCACCGGTGTCATGGAGAGGTTCAAGAACAAATTTTCTAAATGTTGTATTGAGAGTTTTAAAATGGATTGAAGTTAATAATCAATTCTCAAAGTAAGTGATGCCTTCACAGAAGTTGTGTGCCACCAAAACATGTCAAGAAGTCTGATACACACTAATAGTGTACAATACACTAATAGAATTGTTGGTTGATCATTTTAGCATAACAGCTTTTCGCCAAATCAGCTGCTTCCACACCACCTACAGGGAATGCTTCATTCTGAGCATGGTTTAACTGTGACTCCCACTGTAATGCATGTGGAAATACAGCAAATTTTGTTATTCCTTCAGCTTACCGAGTTTGGGGATCAGCCAATAAGGAGAAGTAGGAGCTTTACCAGGTCAGATCACATCACATATTATTTTAAGTTAATTGCAAAACAAAAAGAAATGTTCACCTGCCTCCTGGTTTTGGTTCAGGATGTATGGTGACAGCTCAAAGGTTCGTATTTTTATATTAATTCTGCTTGCCTGTTTTATTAGACATAGGTGATCTAAAGCCTCTTCTTTTGGGAAAGGCTTATCTAGAGAAATATTGCAATAATGACTTAGAACTCAGACTGTAATTGTAGCTACAGATTTGCCATTTTGTAACTAAGAGGCAGAGGATGCTTGGTCATACTGCCAATGCTTTATTGTTTCTTGCTTTTGCTTTTGTTAAATTTGCTGAACTCAAAGACCCATCAAAGAGCTGAGAGGATGATCTGCCTGTGGGAAAGAGTTAATGCCATCTCCTCCATTTCCTAAGTCGAGAAATTCATGTTAATATCTCTCTGCAATTCCACAATATGAATGGGTAGCCAAGGTTTCATTTATCTAATCTCATTCAGTTCCTTTTTTTTTTTTTTTTAAGTGTAGGAAAAACTAGATATTTGGATAGAATTAGATAAACAATTAGAACAACAACTTTCATAAACAAGTCCAGATATTAAGTCATTTCTGTGACATACAAAGAAGAAACTTAAGGCAGAGCCATACATAGTTTGTTATATATTATGTGCAATTCCCATGTATTGATCCATCCAGGATGAGGGACTTCTTGCTTTTGTGTAGACATCAAAAGGTCCCTTTACTACTTGTGGAACCCACTTGCCTACGTTGAAGGGATTTATTTTGATGAGAAAGGTTGAAGTAATAAGTTTCTAACTGCAATCAATTTCTTCTTTTTCTCCTGCTTCCCTGAAAAGCATTTACCCGTGGAAAGGTAGAAAGCCTATGATTGCAAGATGTGCTTGATAGAACTTAGTGTTTTTGCAAAAGCGGTAAAAATATTGGTATTGTTAGGTTAAATGCAGACTGATGCAGATTATCTGATTCTACAACTTACTACATGCTGATAGTCACAGAGGAAAAATAAGAATATTGCACTCTTCCGTTTGAAATACATTTCTGAATGTAAAGTGAATGTATCTTTCTGTGGACGTTCAGGACTGGTACTGGCACTGTAGCCCTCAGCACACCCTTGCTGAAGGACCCATGTGCCCTGAACCATTAAGTCCTGTATCTTATTTTATACCTTGTTTCTCTTCTCAGGAGCACCGGTTGGGGTGTTTTTACACAAAGCAGATACTGGTTTGGGTTTTTGAGGCAGGGATTTTTTCAGACGTGGTCTGAAGGTAATTTTGATTGGATTTTTTTCTGGAGCTGAATGTTAAATCCATAGGCAGATTCTGACCCATCTATATCCAAAAAAACTTCATGGTGGACTCATCTACCTTATCAAGACTCTTTCCTACTAATATTACCTCATATCTGACTGTTCTCCACTGGGTCAGACTCAGAGTTCCCTGATCTCTACCTTGCTCCATGTGCCCTGGTCTGCCCTAAAACCATTTGTTACTTTGTGAGTATGTGGCAGGTGTTGCCTGTTTTTGCTCTTGTTTTTTTTTTTGTGCGGTTCTTCCATTCTTGTTTGGCTGGGGCTCATAGGCTAATCCAGCCAGTAGATTTTCACAGGGCTGGTAACCTGCTTGATATTTGAGGGGTAGAGATTCTCTTCTCTTCTGGCTCTCATGTCATAATAAAAGAAATCAGTTCCCCTCCCCAAAATGCAACAATCACTTTGTTTAGACTTTTTATATGATTTTAGAAATAAAAGGAAGAAAACCTGAACCCACCTCCTTCTCAAAAATTACACTGTTTTTTAAGCTAAAATGTTCCATTAAGTTTTTGAGATCTATGCAAGGTTTTATGGGAGGCAGTTTTTCTCTTGTTCCTCAAACCAAAAAGTAATTTCAAACTGAGGAAAAGTAAAAAGGTTTTCTTTGGGAAATTTAGGAATAATTAATTGTGCTTTTTCTTAGTTCCAGCTGTTCTATATGAATGCATAATGGTAAGAAAAAAAAGCAGCCCAAAGGAATAACCGTTGAATGGCTGAGGCAGAATTTGATGTTTGGAGCCAAGTGTGCGAGGGAAAGCAATGAGAGGTCAAAACAAAACAGAATTCTCTGTGGGCGTAAGAAAAGTAAAACTAGACTGCAGCTATTTGCCTGCATGGGACTGTGAGAATGCTGCAATTATTTCCTAATGAAACCACTACTTATTTTGCTTAAAATTGTAGAGATGTGAATGAAGGAGAGAAATGACACCATCCTGCAAGCATATTTCATATTTAATTATCTGTCCTTTGTTTTTATCTAATGCAATCAAGATGCATCATCTGCTCAGTCTGGTTTTGCATGCCAAAGATAAAGGGGGAGCTGTGTCCTGAGAACTTCCAAAACATAATCATCATTGCCCTTTAGAAGTGAAAGGGTGTGCTTCTCTCTGAAATGGTAAAAGAGATTGTACACTTGTTTGAAGGTTATCTTTGAGATAGTAAGACAAAGAGACTGTTGATGTTCTGGAATTTGGCCTTTTTAAAAAGCCTGCCTGGAAGTAAATAAGAAAGATTTGTATTCGCTGCATGAAAGTGTGCCAGAGAAACACCTGTCTTAGCAGATTTTAGGGGACACAGGCTGGAATGGAAATAATGAAGGAGGTAGTGAGGATGACTTGCTGAGCAGCCTACAGAGCTCTGGTGAATGCCTGTGTTATGTTTGACTTGCAGACGCTGCTTTCCACAAAAGCTTTGACTTGGGGTTTAGAGGCTGTGCCTGCCTTTTACAGAAGTCCCAAGGTGCTCCTTGGAAATCAGTCTCCAGTAGACTTTCAAGGACAGATGGGTTAACAAACCACACTCAGATGGATTCTGACCATCTTACTAGGCAATTTGTGAGCATGGCCTAGCCTTCTTACCATGCCTGCTGGCATCTGCCCATTGTGTTGTAAAGGAGGCCATGTTAGAATAAATCACTAGAAACAAACACTGGATAGCATTTGGCTAAGATCTCCATGGCATAATCCTGAAAACCAATTTTGTTGGTGTTTCCTCATTTTGTGACCTGTGGGTGTGTACTTATTAATGTAATACAGACTTTGTTCCTTTCATTTGGCAATGTTTTCTCTTCCATACCAATGTTTTTTCTCCCCAGCCTAGACCTTGCAAAATCCAAGTCTAAGAGCATTGCTCCCATGTCCCAGCTAAACCACTCATCCTGTTTTAAGGAAATGGGAACAGACTGCCCAGGCAAGTGGTTGATTCACCAGCCCTGGGGGTGTTTAAAAGACATTCACATGTGTGGCCCTAAGGGCAGTGTTGAGTTAAAGGCTGCACTCGGTGATCTTAGAGTTCTTTTCCAGCCGAAATAACCCTATGGTCCTATGAATTTCTTTGGTGAAACCTACTGTCCTGAAACCATGCTGATGAGTATTCACTGCTAAATCCTCCAAGTTCCTGCTGGTAGAGAGCTGCAAACCAGTTGTTCCATTGCTTTGCTAGAGAGTCTGTCAGAATAACTGGTCTTTTCCACTTTATAAAACACAGTTGTAGTGGTAACTCTTTGATTCATAGAAACTTCTCCATTTGTTTAAGATTTATAAAAATATAGTGTTGTGTGATTTTCTTCTTGTCAAGTTTCCTGAAGACTTATAGTGTGTATTATTCACATCTGTAAAGAAAATGTCCTATGTTTTTTTTAGAAGCAGATACTTTGTGTTACTGACTGCACAAATTGTATATTAAATGTCCTCTATTTTACTTCTTTTCCTTACACT